GATGTTGTTGATGATGATGATGACAACGCAGTTGCAGCAGATGATGGTGATGATGATGATGATGACGATGATGACGATGATGCTGGTGATGGTGATGGTGATGGTGATGGTGATGGTGATGGTGATGGTGATGGTGATGGTGATGGTGATGGTGATGGTGATGGTGATGGTGACGACGATGGACTTTTACAGGACTGTGCATTCTGTGATAGCAACATGACTCGCATTGACTGATGCCATCAGTGGTAGTCAGTCGTGACTGTTGTTGCACTGTAGGAGTCATAGTACTTGTAGCAGGAGAAATCTTGAGGAATAGTCGCCATTAAGCCAGGCAATCGCTGAAGGACGAGTGGCCCAGCATCATGCTGAAGGCGGTGGCGGCTGCTGCCCAGACAGGTCCACTTGGCAATCTCGCAGAGAAGAACTTTACGATGCCGCGCAGGTAATGGAAGCAGAACCTGAATCGTGTGTCGCGGTTCGACGGATATCGGCTGGCTGCAAATTCCCATTGTGCTGTGTTGACATGTCTGTGGACTTTCTGCGGGCCTCAAACCGAGATGGTCAAACTAGAGAACCGGCAAACACCATGATGCAAGCGTTTAGATGGCTTGGTCACCGGAAGTCGACCTACCTGCCAGGTTCGGAGTGCTGCGGTGGACCTCTTGTCTCTATTTCAGACCAGCGGCACATAGAAAGCACCGTAGCATGCCACCCATCTCGTCCAAACGAAACAGTCGCGAAGCAGCCAGAAGACGACAAACTTCGGAGCCCCCAGCTCACAAGCATTGAGAGCATTCACTGGACCGAAGTAGCTGCAGAGCGCGGCCAGAAGCACCTGCCAGAAGGGCTTAGGGTTTAGGGTTAGGGACCAAAAAAGCCGGTTTCGGGCTTCGGGCCTAGGGTTTAGGAACCCTTTCCCCACAGGCCTCACACGCCTTCAGCCCTAAACCTCCCTACCCAACCCCCACCTCGGAAAGGCTGAGGATGCCCTGAGCTTGGTGAGAGCTAAGACGTTCGGTTCGGAACTCGGGGTCTTCAGTGTCTCAAGACAGGGTGGATACTGCGAAGAAGCGAAGAAGCCTTATGGTAAAAAAAAAAGCCCTAAGCCCTAAACCCAAAAACCCCCTGAAGATTAGCTTTCCCCATGACCCTTTCGACCCGCAGAACTCGGTGGGATAGGGTCCCAGGCTTTGCCCAAGGAGCCGTAAACCCTAAAATTCTGGCAAGACCTGCCTGAAGGAAAGGCGGCAGGCTTAGGCGGTCGCAGATCACCAGGTAAACTTTGGAGCACAAGATCATCCGCAAGTACCAGCGGTGGCCTTGCGGTTTGGGGCCAGCTTAAGAGGACAAACCAAGCTATCCTTAACGGTTTAGAGTTTAGGGTTTAGTTTAGCGGCCCACGACTCAGCTCTGAATAGCACACGAACACGAACTCAAGGCCCCAAGCAAAACAAGAAACCAAAAGCCCTGGCCCTAAACCCAAAACCCTAAACTCTATTCTTCATCGTGGAACAGATATATAACTTAACCCTCATAAACCCTAAACCCTAAACCCTCGTAGAACCTTCATAGAACCCTCATAGGCCTGAGGTGGCGTGTGAGTTCTCCAGATAGACTTGATCCCAGCCGTTGGTCTCTTCTGTGATGCTGCGGCTCTGCCATGTCCTGCTTCGCACCACAGTGTCTTCACAGTTGAGTTTACTTGAGATCCAACAACCCTAGCATTTTCGGCGTCATGCCCCGTAAGATTCGGAGCACCATCTAGCCAATCTAGCCGACCTGCATCCCCAGACCCCACAAAACAGTAGGTCATGACCCCTTATACCCCTTGACTCTGGTAGTTTACAGGGTTTGGGGTTGCAGATGGCCCTTGGGATCTGGCACCACGTAAGGAGCTCAGACTTCAGGTTGATGGCAAAGGGGGCCTCCCAAAAAACCGCTGGCACCAGAACTGGAGGATCCTTCTGTTACGAAGCAACCGCAGGGCCCCTGCTTCGGTAACGCAAAAGGTCCTGTCCGGGTAGGCAAAGCCACCCGTAAGAGCATCAAAGATCTGCGGAAGCGGCATGGCCATGAACAGGTACACCGCGAAGACAAAGAGGTCCGGCCAGCCCAGCCGCGCGCGCTTGCGCGCCTCGCTGCCCTGGGGCCTTGAGTCCTGATAGGCGCCCAGCATGATGAAGCCAAAGAGGTCCTGCGGT